GTCCACGGACCGGGGGTTGGGGACCCCTGCATTAGAGCACGACGTGAGATGTAGTTTCCATAGACCCTCATCCACAGGGATACAATCTGGGCTCGTATGGAATTTTTTTTATATCGTCCCTCCAAAAGATAAAGCAGCAACTTGAATTAATAATAGATGATGAAAAATATTACAGGTAATCCTCAACTAACTAACTAACTAACTAACTAACTAACTAACTAACTAACTAACTAACTAACTAACTAACTAACTAACTAACTAACTAACTAACTAACTTCCTTTCTTTCTTTCTTTTTTCTTTCCTTCTTTCTCTTTCTTTCTTCCTTTTTCTTTCCTTTCTTCCTTCCTTCCTTTTTCTTCTTTCTTTCTTTCTTTCCTTCTTTTTTCCTTCCTTCTCTTTCTTTCTATCCTTCCTTCCTTCCTTCTTTTTTCTTTTTTCTTTCTTTATTTCCATCCTTTTCTTTATTTCTTCCTTTCTTTCTTTTTCTTTCCTTCTTTCCTTCTTTCCTTCCTTTTTCTTTTTTCTTTCTTTTTCTTTCCTTCCTTTCTTCCTTCCTTTTTCTTCTTTCTTTCTTTCCTTCTTTTTTCCTTCCTTCTTTCTATTTCTTTTTTTCTATCCTTCTTTCCTTCTTTCCTTCTTTTTTCCTTCTATTTCTTTCTTTCTTTCCTTCTTTCTTTCTTATCTTCTTTCCTTCTTTTTCTTCCTTCTATTTCTTTCTTTCCTTCTTTCTTTCTTTTCTTCTTTCCTTCTTCTTTCCTTCCTTCTATTTCTTTCTTTCTATCCTTCTTTCTTCCTTCCTTCCTTCCTTTCTCTTTATCTCTTTCCTTTTCTTTCTTCAGCATCACATTGTTGCCTCACGTTCATCTTATGATCCACCAAGATACCCAGGTAGCCCTCAACTTATGACCACAGCTGAGCCGAAAATTTATTTTGCGAAGCAGAGAAATTTGTTAAGTGGATTTGTACCCCGTTTTACGACCTTCCTTGCCTCAAGTGTTAAGTGATTCCCTGCAGTTGTTAAATTAGTAACGGGGTTGTTAAATGAATCTGGCTTCCCCCGTTGACCTTGCTTGTCAGAAGGTCACAAAAGAGGATCACGTGACCCTGGGTCACGGCAACGGTCATAAAAGTGAGTCAGTTGCTAAGCATCTGAATTTTGATCAGCTGATCCTGGGGAGGCTGCAATGGTCGTAAGTGTGCAAAACGATAAGTCCCTTTTTCCCGTGGCTGTTGTAACTTTGAATGGTCGCTAAATGAACTGTCGTAAGTCGAGGACTACTTTCCGTGCTGTTGTAAGTTCGAACAGTCTGTTGTAAGTCAAGGACTACCTGTACATCTTGGTGTAAGAAAACCTACAGAGTGATACAGGAGGGGAGGGGGGTTGTGGCCCTTCCAACTCAACCCTAATTTGCAAAATCNGGCCAAGATTTCTGCTTACTTGAAGGATCATTCACAAGAAAGATACATTTCGGTCTGGAGAAGATGGATAGATTATATTCAGAACAAATATGGGACTAAAAAGTTCCATTTGGCTTATGAGTAAATTTTAGAGTATTATTATTATTAATAGTTTATTATAGTGGAATTTTTGTTAGTTTTAATTATATGATATTATTATCATTTTTAGTATTAATGTTGTATTGTTTAACAATTAGGTTGTTAATTTGTTTATTATTGTTTTTAATTTTAACTTGTTTAAATTTATGTTAAAGGGGAGTTAAAGTGCGTTATGGACTTGGTTACTTAAATAGTTGGTTAAAGTTAGTTAGATTATGATTATTATATTTGTAACCCTGTGTTCAGCTTTGGGAAGTTGGGGAGGGGGAGGGGGGCTTGGGGGTGGAAACGCAAACAGAAGGTGTCACTTTTCAAACCAAAACCAAATGCCTCTTTGCTGCAAAGGCTTCCTTTTTTTTTCCTTTTTCTGATGACACCGTCAAAAGCAAAGCATTTTTAGAGCCATCAAGAGGAAGTTTAAGCTTGGCAGATGGCACGAACAATTCCGATCCGACGAACGAAATCACCCAATGGATGTCTGCTTCTTTGGCGTTTGTTCGAATGCCGGGAAGTTGTTTAACCGAATTTCTGAACTTAAAATGACTCAGGAAAGGAGCTTCATCAATGCAGCCCGCAGGAGGCCGAGGCTAAGAAAGAGATGGTTGTCGTCAGACGGCAGCAATTTGCATAATGTGCAGCTGAAACAAAGCCCTGGATGGCCCTATTTCACAGCCATCACAAAAGGAAAGAAATCTGTGCGGGAAAATGTTTCCACGGGTGGTTTTTCTTGAAGGGAGGTTGGCTTTATTAAAGGGAAGAAAAGGTTTTGGAGACCTAAAAGCCAGTGGGAAAACATATGAAGAACGGTTGCAGGATTTGGGAATGGCCAGTCTAGAGAAAAGAAGGACCAGGGGCAACATGATAGCAGTATTCCAGTATTTGAGGGGCTGCCACGAAAGAAGAGGTGGGTCAACTTATTTTCCAAAGCACCAGAAGGCAGGACAAGAAACAATGGATGGAAACTAATCCAGGAGAGAAGCAACCTGGAATTAAGGAGAAACTTCCTAACAGTGAGGACAATTAACCAGTGGAACAGCTTGCCACCAGAAGTTGTGGGTGCTTCATCATTGCAGATTTTTTAAGAAAAGACTGGACAGCTAATTGTCTGAAATACTATAGGGCAGGGGTGTCAAACTCAATTTCACTGAGGGCCGCATCAGCATTGCAGTTGCCCTTGGGGGGCCGGGTGGGTGTGGCCAGAGTGGGTACAGCCTACTTGATTATTATTATCATCATTAATAATAATAATAATAATAATAATAATAATAATAATAATAAATTGGAAGGGACCTTGGAGGTCATCGAGTCCAACCCCCTGCTCAGGCAGGAACCCTACACCATTTCAGACAAATGGCTGTCTAGTCTCTTCTTAAAAACTTCCAGTGTTGGAGCATTCACCGCTTCTGGAGGCAGGTTGTTCCACTGGTTAATTGTTCTCACTGTCAGGAAGTTTCTCCTTAGTTCTAGGTTGCTTCTCTCCTTGATTAGTTTCCATCTGTTGCTTCTTGTCCTGCCTTCAGGCGCTTTGAAGACTAGCTTGACTCCCTCTTCTTTGTGGCAGCCCCTGAGATACTGGAATACTGCTATCATGTCCCCCCTCGTCCTTCTCTTCATTAAACTAGACATACCCAATTCCAGTAGCCGTTCCTTATATGTTTTAGCCTCCAGTCCCCCTAATCATCTTTGTTGCTCTTCTCTGTACTCTTTCTAGAGTTTCAACATCTTTTTTACATCGCGGTGACCAAAACTGGATGCAGTATTCCAAGTGTTGTTGTTGTCATTGTTGTTGTTGTTATTATTATTATTATTATTATTATTATTATTATTATCACTACTACTACTACTACTACTACTACTACTACTACTACTACTACTAGAAGGTACAAAGGGAAACCAGAGTGGAAAATTCCATAATAAATCTCAGCATGCCATGACTTTGTTTACATTCTCATCCTAGTGAACCCAAGTAAGATGGTTCTGCCTTCAGGTGCTTTGGAAAATAGGTTGACCCCCCCCCCTGTTCTTTGTGGCAGCCCTTTAGATATTGAAACTTTGCTATCATGTTACCTGTAGTCACCCCTAGCAGTTTTTTGCTCTCTGCCCCTGCCTACTGTAATTTGTAAATTCATTTTGTAAAGATGCCAGCGAAGGAAGAAGCCCTGTTGTGTAACTAGATTTCTATTTAATTAACTCTGTGTGTAGACCAACATTCTGGTAATCTTCCGTTTCGGCAGAAAACCATAAGAACGTATTTTGAACCACGCAAAATGCAAATACTCGGTTCAATATTTTATGAAGAAGCTGCAGCAAAGAGTTTAGGAAAACATTTCCTGCTGGGCAAATACTTTTGGATTTTATTTAACCAAGATTGGAATACAGTTTGAAAAAAAAACAATTTAAAACCAGTAGTAATATTCCTTTAATCAAATATAATTGGAATGCAATATTTAGTTGTGGAGCTCAATAAAACTCAGGTGAAGCTACTATGTTAAAGTTGAAATATTAAACTGGTATTTTGATAAGAGGCTCTTCTAGGACTCATTAAATAGAGGGAGGGAGGGAAGGAAGGAAGGAGAGAAAGAGAGAAAAAGAAAGAAAGAAGGAAGGAAGGAAGGAAGGAAGGAAGGAAGGAAGGAAGGAAGGAAGGAATAACAGTAGCTCAGTGGTTAGATAGGCAGCAAATAAATTTAACAAAATAAATAAATATTGTTGCTGATTTCAGAATTGTTGTGAATAAGGCATCCAGTGAAGAAGCTGAGAAGCTATAAAGAGTTCAGCGCAGTTGTTAAGTCAGCAACACAACTGTGAAGTGAATCTGGCTTCCCCGTTGACTTTGCTTGTCAGAAGGTCATAAAAAGGGATCACATGATCCCGGGACACTGGGACTGTCATAAATATCTTGAGCCAGTTGCCAAGCGTCTGGATTTTAATCATGTGACCATGGGGATGCTGCAACGGTCGTACGTGCGAGAAACAATCCTAAGTTACATTTTTCAGTGCTGTTGTAACTTTGAACGATCACTAAGCAAAGTGTTGTAAGTTGAGGACTACCTATATGTCTAAGATTGGATCAATCTTATTTCTGAGATGACCGGTGTTGTACGAACGGGCTATTATCCTACTAAAGTGACAAAGGCTTCCCCAATTTCCACGGACAAGAGACTCCCAAATTAACCACTTCTGTCTGGGGCAGAGACAACCAAACCTATTTATTTTTCCCTGGCAGTTACCAGTCAGTTTCTTGCACATTTCACGGCAAAGTCGTTTTCCCTTCCGAGGTGCACGTCTAAAATTTGGCATTGGTTCCTGAGCTTTAGGTTTAATGTTCCTCTCCTGTTGACGACAATTCTCTATCCTTTTTTTTATTTTTATTTTTTTGTAGAAATGATGGCATCTTTTGCTGTATGTCTTGACAAGCCTTCCTCTTTCTTTTCTTTTCCAGAATTGCCCTACGGCTGGGAGAAAATTGACGATCCCATTTATGGCACTTATTATGTGGAGTAAGTTTTTTCAAACCCTTATTAATGGCCTGTTCATCTTGTGTCAGTCAACTGTGGTTCAGGTCCCCTGTGGTATTTTAGGTCGAAAAGAAAGCAGTTCCGTGTGGGTTTTGTTGTCCCTGGACACCTTACGATGTAACAGAAAAGAGAGGGCCCAACTGGAAAAAACGGGGGGGGGGGGAAATTGTAGAGGTAGTCCTTGACTTACAACAATAACAGAGCCCCGATTTTTTGTTGCTAAGTTTGATAGTTGTTCACTGTCTTGTTTTGCCCCATTTTATAACCTTGTTAAGTGAATTACTGCAGTTGTTAACAAGGTTGTTAAGTGAAACTGGCTTCCCCCCTTGACTTTGCATGTCAGAAGGTCGCAAAAGTTGGACACGGGACTTTGCAACCGTCGTAAATATCTTGAGTCAGTTGCCAAGCGTCTGAATTTCGATCACGTGACCGTGGGGAGGCTGCAACATGGTTTTAAGTGAATTGACTTTGCTTCTCAGAAATTCACCAAAGGTCAGCAATCCCCGACCTTTGTGGCCTGACAGCCCGGCTGGGGCGGAGGAAAGGGGAGTCAGGCTGTGTGAGCAGCAGGCTGGTGCACACATGTGCACACACGCAGTTCGGTTTGCGCGGGCAGTGGGCCAGCGCACCCACATGCATGTGCAGCTCGACTTGTGCAAGCTGAGCTTCACGCCCGTGTGCATGCACGTCGGCCCTCCACTCGCACAAGTTAAGCTCTGCGCGCGTGCAGGAACGCTGGTCCGCCACTGATGCAGCTTTTCCAAATAAGTCAGGGGTCCTCAAACTTGGCCACTTAAGACTTGTGGACTTCAACTCCCAGGATTCCCCAGCCAGCCATGGCTGGCTAGGGAATCCTGGGAGTTGAAGTCCACAAGCATGGCTGGCTGGGGAATTCTGGGAGTTGAAGTCCACAAACATGGCTGGCTGAGGAATCCTGGGAGTGGAAGTCCACAAGTCTTAAAGCAGCCAAGTTTGAGGACCCCTGGAATAGGCCATGGCCCAGTAATGGCCCTAGAATTGGGGACCCCTGCCAAAGGTGATCACATGACCGGACACTGCAACTGTCATAAGTACATGCCAGTTGCCAAGCATCTAACTTTAATCACGTGACCATGGGGATGCTGCAAGTGTGAAAAACGGTTCAAAGTCGCTTTTTTCAGGGCTGAAACGGTCACTAAACGAATGGTTGCAAGTCAAGGACTACCTGTGACACTCTTTTCCAGAGTGTTTTCCATTGAAAAAAAGTTGCCTAGTTTTGAACTCTTGTCGTCCCATCTTATTTATTGATTGATGTGATATGGTCACCCAACTCAAGACGCTGGGGCTCCAGACAGTGAACGATGCTCCAGTCCTCTCTTCCCCTAAATCCAAGTGAAAAACCATCCCTTGCTGAAGTAAAAGTGAAGAAGACCGCTCCAGAGGACAGGAGCTTCCATTGAAGAGGTCTTCTGAGCCCCATCGGTAGTGTTGATTCAAGGAAGTGTCCCAAAGAATTCCCCCCCTATTAGAGCACATGGGATGGGCACATGGGATCACTGGAGGCCAAGCGTCCTTGCCAATACCCCAATCCTGTGCCACGTAGACCTTTAACGAAGGATTATCGGCATCTGTTGTCTTCTAGTGCAGGGGTCTCCAAACGTGGCCACCGTGGACTTCAACTCTCAGAACTGGAGTTGAAGTCTTCAAGTTGCCAAGTCTCCGTCCTTGGCAGCTTCAACACTTATGGACTTCAACTCCCAGAATTCCTCAGCCAGCCGTGGGAGTTCCAAAGCTGTTTTTTTCAAAATGCAACTGGACTTTGTTTCTCCTTGAAGACGTTGCACTTCTCATCCAAGTTCTGATCTGAAGAAACTCCTTAGATGAGAAGCGAAACGTCTTCAAGAAAAACAAAGCCCAGTTGTTTTTCAGGGGTGGGGGGAAGCACCTTTGGGACAACCATGACCTGGATGACTGAGAATCTCCATAGATAAATTCTGGGAGTCGAAGTCCACAAATCGCAAACAGTAAAGTTGGACAAAGTGTTGAACCTTGTTCTAAGGCATGACGACTAGAACAGTTGTAGCAGCATCCAATTGGAGAAATACCCATCCTAGAAAAAGGCAGTGGTTAGACCGCTTATGTATTTTTCCTAAGAAACCAGCATGGGGGTTGTTTTTGAGATCCTTGGGAGTTGAGTTTGAGATCATTGCCTTATTTATGTACAGATATGTGTTATACAAATGGGCTGTTTATCATTCTGAAGTGAATTTAAAAGACTGTTATTATGCTAAGTGTTTGGTCTCATTTCATTATTATTTTTTTCTGCACACCTTCTTGTGTTTCTTTGTAATGTTGTTAGTTTTTTTTTAAATCCTTGTGGAAACATGTCTATTGAAAGGCAATAGAGAACCCTGAGGAGATTTTTTTGCACCTGTTGTTAGAAGTTACTAGAAGTCGGATCTGCTAATAAATCTGTCCCCATGTTTTTTCCCCAAATCATAGACAGAAAAGCACTCATATCCAAATCAGCGGTCTCCAGACTTGGCAACTTTAAGACTCGTGGGCTTCAACTTCCAGAATTCCTCAAACCAGCCATGCTGGGAATGGAAGTCCACAAGTCTTACCAAGTTTGGACTTGCCAAGTCCTACACGGAAATTTAACACAGTCTTCAATCTTTTAAACGAACACTGCAGATTTGAAAACACCTTTGCAAAATAATGCTTTTTTTTTTCAGTGCAAATCTTGAAAATGCTCACATTTTGCTCCCTTCCCCCCCTCAAAACAAAAAAAGTAATTTAAGTGTCATTGGCAGCATGATTTAGGCCATTAGTGGAGCAGAAGAAAAATTCGCGAAAAGGAAATAAGTGAAAAGGAACAAAAGGGGTGAGAGTTGTTAATGCAACTCTGGGTTAAGATAACCTCTTTCGCGGAATTAAGCCTACTTTACAATCCCATTATATACATTTAAGAAGTAATTGTTAGTCTCAAGAGAAGCATGACGTGGTCACTTTTATGGTACAGTTGGATTCAAAACAGGTAGTTTGGGAAAGGAAATGGGCAGCTCAAGTTATCCAAAGATTTTCTGATGTTACAAAAGGGACAATGAAATCAAAGGGGTAGATGAATGCCCTCTAGAATTCCAGATGATGATCACATATATTTATTTTTTTTGGCTGTTGATAAAAAAAAAATCCTTGCAGACAATATGGAATGGAATGGAATGGAATAGAATAGAATAGAATAGAATAGAATAGAATAGAATAGAATAGAATAGAATAGAATAGAATAGAATAGGAATATATGGAATGGAGTGGAGTGGAGTGGAGTGGAGTGGAGTGGAGTGGAGTGGAGTAGAGTAGAGTAGAGTAGAGTAGAGTAGAGTAGAGTAGAGTAGAAAATATGGAGTGGAGTGGGGTGGAATAGAATAGAGTGGGGTGGAATGGAGTGGAGTGGAGTAGAATGGAGTGGAGTGGAATAGAGTAGAGTAGAGTAGAGTAGAGTAGAGTAGAAAATATGGAGTGGAGCGGAGCGGAATGGAATAGAATAGAATAGAATAGAATAGAATAGAATAGAATAGAATAGAATAGAATAGAATAGAATAGAATAGAATAGAATAATAACTTTATTGTCACTTTGAATGTAGACTAATCGGCATACATTAAAATGAAATTTTGTTGCATACAGCTCTCATAGGGTGACCACCTCTGATATACTCTCCATAAATATGACAAAAATAAATAAATAAATAAATAAATACAGAATTATGCATATACTCACATATATATCCATCAGGATGTCCTATGCCAGGGGCATTTTTTTTAAGTCTGATTTTGTTTTAAAGCCCAGAGTCGCCTTATCAGGGAGATGGGTGGCCTATAAATTAAATACACAAGTGCAGAATTCTTGCTTGTCAGCTGCTACCTGATCACTTTGAATGAAGATGATGTGGGTCTGTTAAGATGTTTTTTTAATCAGTAAGCTTCCTTTCCTCCTCTTGGGCAATTTTTTTTTATTATTCTCTGGGAGAAAAGAAAGTCACGAATAACCCAGTCTGAACATCTGCCTGACTCTACGATACACCAAAATAACAACAAAAGCGTTGACAAAGCCGCCATCAGTGGAATTGCAAAAGGCAGCTTGACTTGGAACAGCTGAAATCTTGCAACGAGACCTTTCACACCATCACACAACAACACCTGCCTCTCCCAGGACCTTGGGAAGGACTCGATAGGATAGGTGGATAAAAATGTTCCCCTCGAAACATCTGGCAGACTGTGCGGGCAATCATTACAATAATAATTAATGCCACCTTAAGCAGCTATAATGAAAACTAACGATTCCGTCTCCTTTCCAAAAAAACAATGTTTTCCCAATCTTTGTAGTCACAAAATAAAGCTGTTATGGTTCCGACAGATGAAACTCTTCAAAGAACTTTGAGGCATTGTTTATCTTAAAGAATCTTTATTTGAGCAGCAACACATCGGCACTTACATAGGCCAAGCCAAAATCTGACTTCCCCTCCCCTCAGCACATAGTATCAACGCACAATTCCCTCCTACAACTAACAGTCATAAATCACATTCTCCAATTAGTTTGAAATGCAGGCTTTCCGCCCAGTTCTTCATTCCGCCATGCCTTATCATCTCTTTATTACAAACGGCCCTGANGAGTAGAGTAGAGTAGAGTAGAGTAGAGTAGAGTAGAGTAGAGTAGAAAATATGGAGTGGAGTGGGGTGGAATAGAATAGAGTGGGGTGGAATGGAGTGGAGTGGAGTAGAATGGAGTGGAGTGGAATAGAGTAGAGTAGAGTAGAGTAGAGTAGAGTAGAGTAGAGTAGAGTAGAGTAGAGTAGAGTAGAGTAGAGTAGAGTAGAGTAGAGTAGAGTAGAGTAGAGTAGAAAATATGGAGTGGAGCGGAGCGGAATAGAATAGAATAGAATAGAATAGAATAGAATAGAATAGAATAGAATAGAATAGAATAGAATAGAATAGAATAATAACTT